GGTGATGAATAGTAAGAACCTACAGCCAAAGATAATCTATCCAGCAAAGCTATCACTCAGAATCGAAGGTCAGATAAAGAGCTTCACTAATAAAAAAAAGCTAAAGGAGTTCATCAACACCAAACCAGACTTATATGAGTTGCTGAAGGGAGTTCTTTCAGAAGAGAAAGTAAACAAAGATAAAAATTATGAACAACACGAGTTGTCAGTAATTATATGAGGGGATTGATGAGGGGATTTCCCTGTTCCTTCCCCTATATCCTTGCAAAATCATTTCAGGTTGGCATCTTGGATAAGGTTGTGTTATCATTACATTCCTGACTATTAAATATTTATCGAGAGCATTACCTGGACGGACTTCAGCCTTCTGGCTCCTGTTGCTAAATGCTAGCTGCATTTGCAGCCAGGTTCCGTGTGAGTGATGGGCATTCTTGAAGATAAAAAAGCCGTAAGCACTGGAGACATAACCTGTGGATCATGCTGAGGCAGTGCACCTCTTCCGACGTGGGTTGGCCAGTTTTTCAATGATTAATTACGCTGTTAGCATAGGTGCACCAGGCTGAGAAGCCTACGGGGTAGGTTCCGCCTGCAGATGTGTTTTGGTTGGTGTGTTAAACATGCTTTTGGAATTAGTTGTGAACATTAAAAAAATTAGCTGTTGTCCGAAAAAAAAAAAAAAAAAAAAAAAAAAAAAAAAAAAAAAAATTATGAACAACAAATATGTAACTATCAACAAGTGAATCTAAAAACCAAGGAAATTAAAAAAAAAAATCTGATGAACAATAGTAACTGTTGAATATAATAGAATCAGAGGTATGGAAGGGGAGTGAACTGATGATTCTTGGGGAAAAGGGAAGAGGGAGATGTGGGAAGAGACTGAACATAAACTGTGCACCTATGGATGAGGACAATGGGGAGTGGGGAAAGGGCAGAGGGTGGGGTGGGAACCTGGTGGAGGAGAGCAATGGTGGGGGGGGGGGGGGAGGAACAGTTGTAATAATATGAACAATAAAAACTTATTTAAAAAATAAATAAATAAAATAAAGTCACTAACGGTAAAAAAAAAAAAAAAAAAAAAAGAATCAAAGTGAGGACATAGAAGGTAGAAGAAATGAATGCCTTTAAAATGAGATAAAATAAAAAAGATTGGAAGTCCTGGTGGATTGACAAGTTTGTTAGACAGGTGCTCCAAAGTGCAATTTAGAGGAAAGGTGATTGGGATGCCTAAAATTTAAAATACAGAGGGACTGTATTTAAAGATAATACTGACACTTGGAATATGAATCTGACAATAAGTGGTTAATGTAGTAGAGGACATAATTATTGAATCAAAGAAGGCTAAGAATTAAAAGTCCAAGATAGCTGTGGGTTGTCATATCACAAAACAAGAGCAAACAATCCTAAATGTTATTAAGAACCACAAATAAAATTGAATAGCTAAAGAAATCTTGAGAAGAAAAAAGTTGAAGGTTTTATATCCTCTGGTTTAAAACTATACTACAAACCTTAGTAATCAAAACGATATCGTGCTGTCATAAAAAGAATCTCAAAAATCCATGGAATAGAGGACCCAAAAATAAATCAACACTCACATGAGCAATTATTCTATGACAAAGGTGGCAAATATGTATAATAGGGAAAAGACAGTCTCTTAAATGGTTTGGGGAAAAAAAAAAAAAAAAAAAAAAAAAAAAAAAAAAGAAAAAGACAAAGGAAAGTCGTTGTTTTATGTAAAATTTTTAATTTAGACTGATCAAAAATTGGTTTATTTTAAAACACTTCAAACATATAGTAGAAATAAAACAGTAAATACTTTATTAGTAGTTAAGGTCTAGTCAGGAAACAGAAACCATACCATTAAAATTTTTTTGAGTGCTTTTACTGATTTTAGAGAGGAGAAGGGAAGGGAAGGGAAGAGAGAGAGAAACATCAATGAGAAACAAATAAACCACTGGCTGTCTCCTGCACAACCCTTACTGGGCGTTGAGCAGACAACCAGTCTGTGAGCCCTGACCTGATTGGGAAACCTGTAACCTCTGGGTGTGTGGAATGCTGCTCTCGCACTAAACCACACTGGTGGTGGGGCAGTCCCATTACTTTTAATGGGGGTAATTTTAATATAATGTTTTAACTGATAGTGGGATTAGCTCTTGGGGACAATTCTAATACACTAGGACTGAGGATATCCAAGGAAAGAACATCCTTGGGAGGGGCTTCCCTTCCCCCAAGGTCAAGGCAGGCCTAGGGGAGAAGGTGTGGCTACAGCTCATGAGATGGCAGAAATTTTCCCTGGGTTAGAGCTGGTAGGTTCCAACTGCCTCCCAAATAAAACTGATTAAGTGTGCAGAGTTCCACATCTGTATCCAGCATCATTTCAAATTAGCCAATTTTACACACCACCCCCTTATGTCATATAAAATAGCTTATTTTTGTTTTACAAATATATGAACCTGATTTACACTTTAAAAAAAATAAATAAATAAAACCTCTTTTCTAAGTACCTGTACATGCGAACACATTTGTCCCCTTTCAATAGAATTCTTTAAAGATATACATATAAAACTCTATAGTAATTATTAGAAAAAGCTGCTTAAAATAAAGCAGCTTTAGAAAATAAGATAGTTTTAATTATTGTAGAATTAAATTATTTCTCAGTTATCTTCATTTTTTGTTGTTATCAATGTTTTACTGTTGAAAACAAAATTGAAAATCTCTGGTACATAAAACAATTATTTCTACAAAAGGAAAGCCTACAAATCTTGATCCTTTATATAACAGCTTCTCAAATATCTTCGAACATCTTAAAAAGTAAATTCCAAGTCACTGAATACATCTATGCCACAAATATAGTTTTCCTATGGTTATTAATAAAGTAAGGCATTCATAGAAAGATAATGTTTAAGCCTAAAACTTCTTTACTAGACACACTAATCATCTAAATTCAACAGATTTTAAGATGAGTATTCTTAGTTAAGAGGAACATCAACTAATTTAGTACTATTATTTGCTTCCACTGACACCACCTGATGTTTTTAAGAAACTCCATTAGAATGGATCTATACAAGGAAAAATCTTTGTTTTTTTAATCCTTGTCTGAGGAGGTTTTTAAAAAATATATTTTATTGATTTTTTTTTTTTTTTTTTTACAGAGAGGAAGGGAGAGGCATAGAGAGCTAGAAACACAGATGAGAGAGAAACATCGATCAGTTGCCTCCTGCACACCTCCCACTGGGGGTATGCTCGCAACCAATGCACATGCCCTTGACCGGAATTGAACCTGGACTCTTCAATCCTCAGGCTGACACTATATCCACTGAGCCAAACTGATCTCGGCTGAGGAGGTTTTTCCATTGATTTTTTAGAAAAGAGTAGAAGGAAGGGAGACACACACAGAGAAAAACATTGATGTGAGAGGCACATTAATTGGCTCTCTCTTAAATGGGACCTGACCAGGGTCAGGATCAAACCTGCAACCTAGGTACCAGCAACAATACATGACCTTCATTGGAATCCAACCTGGGACCCTTCAGGTGACAGGTCCACACTGAGCCAAATCGACTAGGGCAGTGGTCAGCAAACTCATTAGTCAACAGAGCCAAATATCAACAGTACAACGGTTGAAATTTCTTTTGAGAGCCAATTTTTTTAAACTTAAACTTATTCTAACTCCACTTTTTCAAAATAGACTTGCCCAGGCCATGGTATTTTGTGAAAGAGCCACACTCAAGGGGCCAAAGAGTCTTATGTGGCTTGTGAGCTGCAGTTTGCCGATCAAGGAACTAGGGCATGAAAATCTTTTTTATGAAGAATTCTAAAAGCTCCCTAGTGAAACAGTATTAGAAACATTTTATAAGTTTTTTATATATAGTTTTAAAATTAAAATTTTAAATCTTTTTAATTTGCATGAAAAATAATTCTACTCTCTGCCTACCTATTACACAATTCTCCCGTGGTAGTAAAATAAGCTCAGAAAAGATTTAGATATGCAATGAAAATTTGGATAAATTGCTGCTTAAAAAAACAAATAGGGAAGAAGGGGGCTATTTAATAGGGTCTTCTTTCTCTTCTTTTCTCTATCCTTTATATCTTTACTAGAGATTCAGTGCATGAAATTCGTGCATGGGTATGGGGGGATGTTAGTTGCCTCAGCCCAGCCTGCACCCTCTCCAATTTGGGACCCCTCAGTGGATGTTTACCAGTTTAGGCCCAATCCTAAGGAATCAGGCCTAAACCGGTAGTCGGATATCCTCTCACAATCCGGGACCACTGGCTCCTAATTGCTCACCTGCCTGCCTGATTGCACCTAACTGCCTCCCTCCCTCGTCGACCTGATCACCTCCAACTGCCCCCCTCGCTGGCCTGGTCAACCCTTACTATCTCCCCTCCCCCACCAGCCTAACCATCCCTGCCTCAGCCTGCCGGCATGATTGCCCCTAACTGGCCCCTCTGCCAGCCTGATCACCCTCTAACCACCTTTGCCTGCCTGCCTGCTCACCCTTAACTGCCCTCCCCCTGCCAGCCTGATCATCTCTAACCACCCCTGATTGCAGGCCTGATAGCCCCCTAACTGCTCCCCTACCGGCCTGAAAACCCCTAACCGTCTTTGCCTGCCTGCCTGCTTACCCCTAACTGCCCCCCCCTCCCGCCAGCCTGATCATCTCTAACAGCCTCTGATTGCAGGACTGATAGCTCCTAACTGCTCCCACTACTGGTCTGTTCACCCCTAGCTTCCCCTCTTGTCAGCCTAGTTGCCCCACACAGCCAGCTGTTTAGTCATTTGGTCATCCCTCACTAACACCTCCCCTCTTCGAGCCTTGTTGCCTCACACAACCTATGTCCAGTTGTTTTGGTCATGACAGCCCTGGCTTTTTATATAAGTATGATAGGTTATTGCTTTATACAATCCCAGATTCTGAGATCTTCCTCCTTTTTTAAGTAATGAAAGATTATTTACCCTCTAAAATAGAGTCAGTGCTAGCCTTAAACTACCAGATACTCACCGAGTTAGGGTAGTTCAAGTAGCAGATCTGACAAGGCATATCCTGTGCTGATGACCTTGTATTCATCTGGCGTGTTCGAGACTTTTTACTTGGATTAATTACATGACACTCAGCAAAGAGCTTCTCCAGGTTTCCATCAAAGTACCTGCATTATTTAAACAGAAAGGATGAGAGCCCAGCAATAGCACACTGTTAGAGCTCTCCAAAAACCTGATTTTCTATAGGGATAAGCAATGAACTGAATTAAAATAAACCAAGATTATAATCTTTTTTGGTTCACAGGAAATTTGAGTTGTGTAGCTCAAATTGTAGCAAATGGAGATATTAAAGTATGAAAGCAGGTTAAGTTTTTGTTGCTATTTTGGATGTTTTATTCTGCTTTTATCCTGAGAAGTTAAACTATTAGTATTTTAATAGTACTATAATTAAAACTTAAGGATGACAGTTGTACTATCTCTAGTGATACCTCATGCATAGTAAATGCTATTTTAAAAGGGTAGGCCATATTATTTACAAATAAATTCATTTTAATAATAATTTTTGCCATACCAACTTAAATATATTAGTAAGTAAACCTACAAGTGCACCTCGTTTTCTAAGCCATTTAAAAAATGTAATTACATCGACTCTCATTTACAAAACAAACTTGCTTTCTGAATATTGCTTGAAATACTTTTAACTTACTAGGAAACGGGGAGGAAAAAAAAACCCACAAAAAGTGATACCTTAAAATATTTCTATATCAAGTAATCGATATATTAGCTTTTCATAAAACATGTATCTATATATATGTACTTCACTAAGATGTCAAGAAGCATGCTCCAGAGTTTCAACTAAACTAACTACAAATGGCTTGACAAAAGATAGTGGCAAATACATAGCATAATATTCCCCATTAATATCCAGCTGAGACATGGTCCCTGTTCTCCTTAAATATCTTATTCTAAAGGTAAAGCAATAGGTAAAACACAACCTTTCAATCTGTGAATCAATATAACCAACAAAAATATTAATACAGAATGTGGTTAATTTGTTTTTAACTTATAAAGACTACCCTGTTTCCCCGAAAATAAGACAGTGTCTTATATTACTTTTTACTTCCAAAGATGTGCTAGGTCTTATTTTCAGAGGATGTCTTATTTTTCCATGAAGAATAATACGGTACACATTTATTGTTAAATGAAAATAAAGGAAATTTATTACCTGTATACGGTAGTACGGTAGTTGTCAACACAAACCAGACAAACTGTGAGTCCTACAGTATCAAGAATTTACTCATTTATTCAATGACAATCCAATTCCTGAATTTCCTGGTGAATTTCTGGTGACTCCATTTCTTTCAGAATCAGTGGACCAAATCTCTCATGTTTAGCAATAGCACTGTCTTTAAACTTCTTGTCAAGGTAGTCTGCTCGCAGTGCATTTGCAATGCAACTGTCAGTGATTTTCTCTCATGGAATTCTTCACCCAAGTCACAACTTCTTGCAGTTTAGGTTTCACAAAGTTTCCACACTGATTTCTCTCCATTCTATTTTCAATGTAGTCATTAATTTCCATGCGCAAATTGTCTTTGAATGGCTTGTTTATTGCAATATCAAGAGTGTGGATATAGGCCGTCATTCCTGAAGGAATCATTATCTGATCTATTTTTCTTTCATGAAGAAATGTCTTCATGTCTTTAGCGCAGTGAGTGCTGGCTGCATCCCAGACTAGCAGACCTCTTTGGCTCCCTCGCATAACAAGCAGCAGCATTAAATCGACCCACTTCCTTATAACTGCTTGTGTGGTCCAGGCTTTTTCAGTTTTAAGAATAAAAACGCTCAAAACACGTTCAATCTTTTCCTTCTTGCCCTTAGAAATGATTAAAGGTGGGATTTTAGTGCCATCCAGACGAATTGCCAAAAGACAGGAAACACGTGCACTTTCGTAAGCAGTGGAGGGAATGTACAATAAGGAGGCATCCCGCTGTCCAATTGTTTGAGATGACTGGCCCATAAACACTGCAATTTCATCCATAGCAATCATGTTGGGAAGATTGTATTTACAGAAGTCAGCATCATCAATAAGGGACTTGAATTCAAGTGCTTGCTTAATAACTTGAATATCTTCCAACCTAAACAATGTTGTAGATCTTCTTAAAGACAGTTCACTTCGCTGAAGGAAATTATCCAGCCAGTGTTGTGATGCTTTGAAGTCTTTGGGGCTATGTCAAACTGTGGTACCATTGCAAGGGCAAATTCTTGAATCTGAGCCCTATTCACAACCAAAGCCTCTGCTCTCCTGTCAACAACCCATTCACAGATCAGGTCTTCCAGCTCGAAAAATAATGGTTGCCGATCTAATCTACACTTGCGCTTTTTAGCATTTCCCTTGTCCACTTGTTCAATGAGGTTACCATACTCTGCTCGCCATTTTCGGACCAATCGGATACTCAACATCTTCTCTTTGCAGAAAGCAGTAAGATTTTGGCCCCAAGTCTTCCACGATTTCTTTCTTGTATTCCACGGAGTAGCTTTTCCTTTCTGTGCTCATTTCTAGGGGTAAAAAAACCGAATTGGGGTATCAAGGTGGGGGGAGGGGGATCACTTAAAATGACACAGGGGGGATCAGATGGGGGGAATCAAAATGGCACAGGAGAATCAGAGGGGGGATTACCATTTTAGTAACCCCTTTTGATCCTCCTGTGTCATTTTGATTGCCCCCTCTGATCCTCCTGTGTCATTTTAAGTGATCCCCCTCCCCCCACCCCTGTGCCACTGAACGCCTTCACCAGACATACCCCGTACCCCTTTATCAGACCTTTACCCCCTGGGGCCTGCCTGGGGACTGTCACTAGGCTTGCTGGGGCCTGGATCTGGGCTGGAGCAGGGTCTGCCACTGACTGAGAACCTTCAGTCATCATGAGGGCGGCTGCGAGCATCAGGTAGTGTCACCAGAGACAGACCAGCACTCACCACCTTCGCAGCGTTCTGTCTGCTCTTCTTCTACACGCATCTGCGAAAGTCTCCTCCTCTCTCCGCACTCACCACTCACTCCAACCTCCACTCCGCCTCCACACAGCAGTGACGTCAGGACTCCACCTAACGTCACTGGTTGCTAGATGCCAGTCAGGGCAGCCCTAGTACTAGTTTACAATAAATTAATTTTCATTCTGAGACAGAGCCTAGCGGGGGCCTTATTTTCGGGGGGATGCCTTATATTTCACTCAGAAGGAAACATATAAGTAGGTCTTATTTTCGGAGGATGTTTTATTTTCAAGGAAACACGGTAGATATCAATAACTACAATGTTCTTTACAAATAGAAAGTTCTCAGGTTAAATAAAAATAAAAAAAAATCAATACTCAGAGGTTCTCCATCCACGTGCCTTCTCCCCCTCCCCTCCCTGCTTTCTCTCATCTCTCTAATCTATCACCAATGGATTTCATATAACCTACCTATTTCCCCTCCTTTGATTAGATAAGACCAACATTCTCCAGAGCACTATCCTAATCTGTTGAGATATTGCTTCCTGGCAATTGTCGACAGTTTGGCTCAAATAAAATCACAAAAATTCTTAACAGGTGAATGGTTTTTACATTTACAACATGATCTGTCGAGCAATGATTCTGCTATGGTTATATGGAATATACTGAAATCTATTTTTACTAAATATAACAAAATCAATTCTTAAACCTATTCGTCAACTTTAATAATACTTTGATTGTTCTTATATGAAATTAGAGGCCCAGTGCACAATATTCTTACACTTGAGAGGCGTCCCTCAGCCCAGCCTGTGCCCTCTCACAGGTCTGGGGTTCTTGGGAGATGTCTAACTGATGGCTTAGGCCCATTCCCTCTGTTGCCATGGAAGTGGGAGAGGCTCTAGCCACCACCACTGCCCTTTCCAGCCGGGAGCCCAGCTCAGGGCTTCTGCTGAGTGGTGCACCCCTGTGGGAGAACCATGACTACCAGGGGGCAGTTGTTGCGTTGAGCATCTGCCGCTGGTAGTCAGTGCGTGTCATAGCAACCAGTCATTCTGCATATTAGCTTTTATTATATAAGATGTAAGATACACTTTTTCACTAATTACATTACTTTTACATTATATAGCTTTCCCCTATAATAATGATTAATGTCTTTTATTTCCTACACTTGATTATCCTGGATTAGACCTACTTAAAAATGTTCATCCTAATTACTGCCCTGGAGAAGCTCCAAAGCTTTTATATCCTCAAGAGGGGTATACTTCCCCAAATGACAAGAACCAATATTATTGTTAAAAACTATTTTTTACTTCAAAGAAAATTAAGACAGTAGCTTCCATACCCTGTCCAAATATATGTATGCAAGGCAAGTCTATTCCCTCTGCTCTGCTCAATGGTCTTCCTCCCCAACCCCCCCACCCCCGCCAACCTACTTGTATGACTTATGCAATAGTGAGTCTGATTTCAATTAAAAAGACAAATGGTATATAAAAAGAAGCATTCTCTATATTCTTTTGATAATGGTGTTTCAATATACTTAATGGAAATCCTCTGGTTGTAAATGTTGAGAGCCTCAAGTATTTTTAATATAGTTACGCTAAAACTAAGAATAAGCGATCAAAACACAAGATAGGCCCTGGCTGGTGTGGTTCAGTTGGTTGTAGTGTCAACCCATGCACTGGTTAAGGGTCCTAGTAAGATTGTGGGTTCAATTCCCGTAGAGGATGGATATGGGAGGCAACTGATCCTTATCTCTTACATCAATGCTTCTCTCTCTCCCTTTCTCAATCTCTAAAAAAACCAGCCAAACAACAAAAAATACAATATATAATTAATCAATTTTTACATAGTTCCATCACAGATTAAGCAACTATATGTGGGAACTGTGCTAGTTAATGGCAGTATTAATTGTTTTAAAGTTAAGAGAGGGATAGTTTTTTGCAAAATGATATGCTAAGTATGTAAGAGAATGCTAGAAAAGTAATAGAAAATACAACTAATGTCAATAAGTCAAAGAATTCAGAGAATAAAGAAATGTCCGTAAGTGAAATTGGCCCTACCCAGTTTTGCTCAGTGGACACAGCTTCGATCTGTAAACCAAAGGGTCCTTGGTTAGATTCCAATCAAAGGCATGTATCTTGGTTGCAGGCTCCTCCCTGGCCTGGACCCTGGTCAGGGCT